CATCAATTGCAAATGAGTTGAAAACACCAATGAAGATGTGGACTGGAAAACCAGTTGATTATTCAAACCTTCATGTATTTGGAAGTATTGTGTACGTGATGTACAACTCCCAAGAAATCTCAAAGCTGGATCCAAAATCCAGAAAATGCAAATTCTTGGGGTATGTTGATGGTGTAAAGGGGTATCGCTTGTGGGATCCCACTGCCCGCAAAGTGATCATTAGCAGGGATGATATATTTGTAGAAGATAAGCTACAAAGAAAAGAAGAAGATGATAGCACTGAAAAGTCAAAGACTACACAGATACATGTGGAAAAGGAGTTTGAACAAGGAGATTCTTCTGAAGCAGAACCAACACATGGCGAACAAGAATCCGAGAGTTTTGAAGCTCCAACAACTCGTCAATTAGATCGTGTGAGAAGACGTCCCAATTGACACTCAGATTATGTTATAGTAGGAAATATTGCATACTACCTTTTAATAGAGGACGGTGAGCCATCAACATACGAGGAGGCAATAAACAACTCAGATGTTTCACTGTGGATGATGGCGATGCAAGAAAGAATTGAAGCCCTTCATAAAAATAATACATGAGACCTTATGCCACTACCACAAGGAAGGAAGCCAATTGGTAACAAACGGGTCTTCAAAATCAAGCGAAATGGTGACGGTCAAGTTGAGAGGTATCGTGCAAGACTGATGGTCAAAGGATATGCTCAAAAAGAAGGTATTGATTTTAATGAAATATTTTCTCCTGTGGTTCGACTAACAACAGTTCGAGTAGTTTTGGCAATGTGTGCTACATTAGACTTACATCTAGAGCAGCTAGATGTTAAAACAACTTTTCTTCATATAAATCTTGAGGAAGAAATTTATATGCTCCAGCCTAAAGGTTTTGAAGAAAAAGAAAATAAGAACTTGGTTTGCAGGTTGAACAAATTTCTGTACGGTCTAAAGCAGACGCCGAAGTGTTTGTATAAGAGATTTGATTTCTTCATTATGTGCCTTGGATACAGCAGACTTAATGCAGACCCTTGTGCTTATTTCAAGAGGTCTGGTGATAACGATTTTGTTATATTGTTATTGTATGTGGATGACATGTTGGTTACAGGACCCAACAAAGATCATATTGAAGAATTGAAGGCACAACTGGCTAGGGAATTTGAAATGAAGGACTTGGGATTAGCAAACAAGATTATAGGGATGCAAGTTCACCGAGACAGAAGTAATAGGAATATTTGGCTTTCACAAATGAATTACTTGAAGAAGATCTTGTCAGGATTCAGCATGCAAGATTGTAAGCCAACTTCTACCCCTCTTCCTATTAACTTCAAATTATCCTCTAGTATGAGTCCTAATAGTGAAGAAGAGAGGATTGAGATGTCTCGAGTACCGTATGCATCAACAGTGGGAAGTTTAATGTTCGCTATGATATGCACAAGACCAGACATTGCACAAGCAATGGGAGTAGTTAGTCGGTATATGGCGAATCCAGGAAAAGAGCATTGGAATACAGTAAAGAGGATCCTGAGATACATCAAAGGGTCCTCAAATGTTGCATTATGTTACGGAGGATCAAACTTACTTATCAATGGGTATGTTGATTCTGATTATACAGGGATTTGGATAAAAACAAATATACTACAGGATATGTGTTTAAAGTTGCTGGTGGAGTTGTAAACTGGGTTTCAAAATTGCAATCAGTTGTAGCTACATCCACAACAGAGACAGAATATGTAGCAGTTACATAAGTCAGTAAAGAAGCAATTTGGTTGAAGATGCTATTGGAGGAGCTTGGGCACAATCAAGAGTATGTCTCTCTATTTTGTGACAGTCAAAGTGTCTTGCATCTAGCAAGGAATCCAGCATTTCATTCAAGGACAAAACACATACGAGTTCAATATCATTTCATTCGTGAAAAGGTGGAAGAAGGGATAATAGATATACAAAAGATCCATACCAAAGACAACATAGCAGATTTTATGACGAATGCAATCAATGCTGATAAATTTACTTGGTGTCGATCCTCTTGTGGCCTGCCAGAGACGTAAGCAACATGAAGGTACAAGGTATAAAGAATGGTGTGAAGATATGATTGTTCTAATCAAATCTTTAAGTGGGAGATTGTTGAAAAGTTAACAATTGCATGCCACTTTCGGTGCACATGCAATTTCGGCGCAAGTGGCAACAATTAGCTGGGAATTGTTGATTTTTATGATAAGAGATAATTACAATTTAGTTATTGTAATTTAGGGTATTTACAAATTAGTCCTTAAGCTTCAACTATAAATACTCTAGCTCATTTAGCTTCAAAACCATCTCAAAACATTATATTTTTTTTGGATAATTTAAGTTTTATTACCCAAATAGAGAGTACTGCTACAGAATCCAATCAAAGGAACAAGAAGGGGAAACCTATTTACAACAAAATTATATTATACCCCAATGATTACAAAATTAGATAACAAAACATTTTAACTTTCTTCCAATACTAGAGAATTTAGAGAGTTTCTTAAGAGTTGTTTTCTCATTTTTTATCAAGAGAAAATTATCATTGTTTTCTCCTTAATAGATCGAGAGAAGTTGTAATTCCTATTTTCTCATAGTGAAATTCTTCTACCGTTGCTCGTGGTTTTTATCCTATATTATTTAAGGGTTTTCTATGTAAATTTTGTCTCTTTTATTTTTATTTTTTTAAATTATTAATTGTGATTTTACTTTATTCAATAATCGTATTCCGCAATAGAAACTGGCGGTGGAGCTATAGATAAAGATTTCTCTCCGCCATTAACATGAACAGCTTTGATGATGTTCTGTTCTTCGTTCGGAGCATTCGAGAACCTTACTGAGTAAAATATGCAGAGAATAGAAATCAAAAGGAGGGAAGAAAGGACGAACCAGGGGAAAGTACAGGAAACGGTGAGATGGTTTCTCAAACTTTGATCCCTTGGTAACTTGTCTTCAACCTTTGGATTGTCTTTCATGATCAAGGAGGGTTTTAAAAGTTCAGACCTTGGATTTTCTGGGTGTTGATGGCTATGAAAATCTAACTCTAGATTCCAAACTCTTAACTCTCTAACTTAAGAGAACATGGATTTTCCGTATGGAAATCTATGTGCAAAGTAACATTAGTGGAACATGAATATAAATAGACTTATTTCTTTAATAATATATATATATTAATTATACTTGTATAAATATATTTATATTTAAAAAGTCGGTGAGAAAATAAAATAAAATGACACGAGTATAATTGAATGAAAACAAAAATCCATAAATGAGTGATCACGAGTAACTTGAAATCCGATTTATGTTCCTTTGCACATATAGGTTTTCTTCTCCGGTTTGCTTAGCTGCTGCTGCCGGCTGTCGTTTGCTTCTTCTTCAGCAGGTGACATGGCCATGGATAATAAATGTGAGGTGGTCTTCATCTCCCATCCTAGCATTGGCAACCTGGTTCCTATCGTCGAATTCGCCCGCCACCTAACACGTCATGAGTCTCGCTTCTCTGCTACCGTTTTTATAATCACCGTGCACCAAAGAGCCATCGTCAACCTTTACACTCAATCACTGTGCAACGCCGCCTCTCCTTCGGATCATATCAAATTCATCCATCTCCCTACCGTCGTCGAACATCCCACTCCTGATCAGTACCAATCTTCTCTGGGTTACTTATCCCTCTTCATAGACAAGCACAAGCCCCACGTTAAGCATGCCATCTCCGACCTCATCTCAACTACTTCAGTTGCTGCCCTCTTTGTTGACATGTTCACCACTTCCATGATCGATGTCGCCAATCAACTCGGCATTCCTTGTTATCTCTTCTTTGCTTCCCCTGCCAGTTTTTCGGGGTTTATGTTCCATTTGCCTGAGTTAGACAGACAGCTTACCGTCGACTTTGTCGAGTCCGACTCGGGATTAATAGTCCCCAAACACTCGGCAGTTGAGTTGATCATCCCCACTTTTGCTAAACCCTTGCCCCCTAGCTTGCTGAGAAACAAGGATGGTTATTTCTGGTACTTAGAACACGCTCGTAGGTACAATGAGACCATGGGCATCGTAGTGAACACGTTTCTTGAACTGGAGCCCCACGCCATTGACTCGCTCTCCTTTAATGGGTTTCCTCCGGTTTATCCGGTCGGTCCAATTCTTAATCATGCTGGACCTGCTCAATGGCATCCGGATGGAGCTAAACAGGATTCCATAATGAAATGGCTTGATGATCAGCCTCCATCTTCAGTGGTGTTCCTATGCTTCGGGAGCATGGGGAGCCTCCAGGTATCCCAGTTGAGAGAGATTGCTTTCGGGCTGGAGCATCGTTTCTTATGGTCCATTCGTAAGCCACCCGAAGGTAAACTAGATCTCCCAAGGGAGTACACCAGTGTAGAGGACGTTTTGCCGTCAGGGTTCTTGGATCTAACAGCCGGGTTGGGGCTCGTGTGTGGGTGGGTTCAGCAAGTGCGAGTATTGAGCCACCAAGCAATCGGAGGGTTCGTGTCGCACTGTGGGTGGAATTCCATATTGGAGAGCATATGGCATGGTATTCCTATCGCGACATGGCCAGTATATGCGGAGCAACAAATGAATGCATTTGAGTTAGTGAAAGAGATGGGATTGGGTGTGGAGATCAGGTTGGATTACAGGGATGGCTGTGATTTGGTGGCGTCCGACGAGTTCGAAAGAGTGTTGAGGCGTTTGATGGACGACGAAGATGAAGTGAAGGCAAAGGTAAAGGAAATGAAGATCAAGAGTAGGATGGCACTGATGGAAAATGGTTCCTCATATAAATCTTTAGAATCCTTGATCCAGGAAATCAGCAGCAGAATACAAGGTTTCAACTGAAATACTGAACAATTTAGTTCCATGTTCAGGAAAAGCCTATATGATTCCTAGATGGATACGTGGTCCAGCGTCATCAACTCACGAGATATGAAATGACCGTTGAACAAACTCCAATTCTATTTAAATAGTATTTCCACGAGTCGTTTAGCAATTTTCGAATCTCAGAAGGGACTGACGAGTCCTACAACTTATATTTCAGCAAACGAGTCGCTAGGTTCACTTAACAGAGGCACATACAAACACATAAATCTCAATGAATTGGGTCTGGATTGAACTTTACAGATTCTCTATAGATGAGCTCCTTAATGTTTTCTTCTGTAACAGATGGTTGCTCGAAATCAAAACTGAATGGCCTTGGGCAAACAGGCTCCACGTTGATGTCGTGAAAAGGTGCCAAGTAAGGGTGGCATAGAGCCTCATCGACTGCAACGGACGATAAGAGGTTGTTAAGTAAAAATGACGAAAAGGGGTGATTTGGTTCGATGCATACGCATCATGTGAATAATTTCCCAATGCTTCTTCAAATTCATCCACTGTTTCTGTTACTTAGAAGTAGTGGAGAGAAATAAACAACTCATAGTACCTATAATGCGCCTATGGGGATCGAAGATGAGCATCTTCCCAAGCAAATCAACAGCACCAGGTGACATGTTAGGAAATCTAGCAGCGAAATTTTGCTTTGGATGTTGTGGAAGCTGTCGAACGTATCTTCTGGCATTGTCACTTCGAAGGAACCCAAGACTTGAATCATCAGGTGAACCTATAAGCTGTTCCAAGGGACAGAAAAATTATGTGCAAACCCATCAAGCAAAAACTCTTGGAGATAGGAAACATAACTACATTACATGATTGTCAATGAAAAACCAGCACTAATAAAAGAACATGCAAATAACGATCATGCGGGAGAAAATGCATTTTGCATACAACGCAAAATGCATCCATCCAAGATCCTTATAATGAAAGGGTCAACAGTAATGGGCCATTCGAAGAGCTTTCTGGCAGTTTCTTCTAAGATTGTGGAAAGCATACCTCTGTGATGAGCCTCAGCTGATGCACGTAGTCTTTGCCAGGGAAGAGGGGTTGTCTAGTCATGATTTCACCGAGTATGCAACCCACCGACCAAATATCGATTGCAGCAGTGTATTCAGAACAATTGAGAAGCAATTCTGGTGCCCGGTACCAGCGAGTAACTACATATTCTGTCATAAAATCAGTTTCGGATGTCGTCCTCGCAAGCCCGAAATCTCCAATTTTAAGGTCACAATTCGCATTCAGAAGCAAATTACCGGGCTTTAAATCACGATGCAAAACATTTGCTGAATGTACATATTTCAGCCCTCGTAAAACCTGATATAGGAAGTACTGCAAAAGTAGCAGTGAATAATCAACAATTGTTCCAGCTTCTAAGTTGCTAACAGAAAACAAGTAACGTTTCTGTCCTGGTATATTTAATACAACAGCTAGTATTTGATACCAACCCGACAATGATCATCTGTCAACGATTGGTTAGATCGAATGATTTGATGAAGATCAGTGTCCATGAGTTCGTAAACAATGTAGACATCATTAAAGTTCTCCTTCAGTGGAGGCCGTATGATGTCTTTGATGGCAATCACCTGAATAAGAAAAGGAATTCCCTGTCATTAGTACCCGTATACAATTACGGGTCGATTTACATGAACATGTGAACGACAGAGCTAAAAGAACTCACATTCTCATGATCCATGTGACGAAGAAGCTTGATCTCTCGCAGAGTCCTCTTGGCATCGATCCTGTTGTCAAAAGCGTTGCCAATTTTCTTGATAGCAACCTCCTCCCGCGACTCGGAGTTCACGGCAGCACTAAGAAAAGGGAGGAGCAACAATGGCATCTTAGCTCGATATGATTAATAAACGTATAGGGAAGTAAGCCTAATGAACAGAATGGTAACTTCCTTTCAACCTCCTCAGGCAGCAAGTTGAGCTCTAAATTCATTTACTTCAACGGGGGCCTAAATTCGGCAGCTTAATTTCATTAGAATCAAAACACACTACAAACTACAGCTGAATGAGTTAAGGATTCACTCATCTCACTCAATCTAAAAACAGAGGGCTTAGAATCATGCATCAAAGTTCCATCAAAACACGTAAACAACTTACTCGCAAAGCTATTTCATAGCTTGAATTATTCCAAAACTATCATGTGAAACTTAAAGATGAAAACAAACCCATATCATATCTTACCAGACAATACCATTAGCACCACGGCCGACGGGGCGAATTGGAGGGACGTATTTTCTGGAAACTTCGAATAAGCTACCATAAACGTTGTACTGAACGTAGCGTCCGCCATGAGTTGGTATCCCTTTGATGCTGTGATTGCCTGACCAAGTGCTGGACTCTATTGACATGCTTTCTGGATCCGAATTTTGGATAACCCGGATCAAACTCGAAAACCCAGAACAAAGAATAGACCTTTTTGCAGTGATAACAGCTAAAATCCAGAGAGAGGGATAAATAGGGTAAGCAAATGGGGTCTAAATTTTGCGAGAGCGTGTTGGTAGGTGTAAAGTGTTTTTTTTTCTTCCTTTGTTCTTTTCTAAAATCTTCTCTTGGGTTTACTAGTAATTTTCATTTTTTGAACTGGGAAAGCTGGTCTCATCGTGAAGACTTCACCTTTCAAAAAAACCCACAATAAATTTGGAATCTGTTCTGCATTTTGCCTTTTTCACTGTACAAGATGTATATCTTTTTTGTCTAAAGCTCGACATAAACGAAGTTATTCTGGTAGAAAAAAAAAGGTCATAAACAAAGTTGTCATTCTCGTGTTCATAGTCAAATACCCTTGGGTTTATATTTCAACTAAACTCAACATAATATCAAACTTTAAAACGTTTAAATTGTATCAATTTAAATATTAAGACATTAAAATTGATATACAACTTAAAATTTACTATTAAAATTAAAATGTTTTAAAGTTTACTGTTAAGATTGATGCACAACTTAAAATTAATATTTTTTAATTATTATATAAATATAAATGAATGAATGGAATTATTATTTTTCATTACTTTACTATTCAATTTAGTATTTGCAAAACAAAACATGTAAAACTTTTCTACAAGATTTGTCAAAGTCTTCATGGTAAACGTTCTTCATTCCAAGTTCTATAGAAAATCATCTGTCAAAGAAACTATTATGTCAAGTCTATCAGAATTAAAATAAAATATTTTAAATATATATATATATAAGTCGTATAATTTACGTTGAAGCAGAATATCTCATGGCTTTCAAAGCATAGCCGCTGGCATGTTATGATATACGTGATCTGACTCTGTATTTGCCAAACCCCACAAGTTGATTCCTAGAACATCCACAGAGGATATAGAAATACACATTGACTACAAGATTTAAAACTGTTTCATTCATAAGGATTAAATTAATAAATGATTTATGTGATCTGCCTCTGTATTTGTTAAAACCTCGTGGTTTAATTCAATATTTTATTAATGATTAAATTAATAAATGACGGGTCATGAGGAGAGACCATATTTTGTGTGTGCGCGTGTTTTCGATAAACATTTGAAGGCGCGTCTTAAACATGTGTTATTTGAGTAGGCCGGTGCTGGACTGAGAGCGGGTGGTAAACTGAGCGTGTGCTGTTCTTCGTGGTATCTCGCTTATTACTCTCATCTTGATAACAGCCTGGGGTGCATTTATATGTTTTGTATGGGAGGAAAGAAATTGTTGGTTACCATCGCAGGCGTGGCCCAATTGGCTTTTGGAATTATGAGCTGGTCTCATGTCCTAGGCTCGAATCGCGCTGGTTGGGAATCCTGAAAAAAAAGGGAAAATAGAGTGGTGAGTTCTTTGAGCCCTCCGAAAGCTCTGCCTTGTAGGGTCAGATTCTTCAGCCTAACCTTGGGAGATCCTAAGTTATAAAAAAAAATTTGTTGGTTAAAAATTGTTGGTTGTTTAGAAGACATAATAGGGGACCGCGATGCTGTTTTTTAATTGCATTCGTGATACTGTACAGTTGAAATTTGAGGGGGGAAATATAGACTAGGCTGATTGGGTAAATGCTCGTTTCTGTATAAATTGACAGACTGGAACAATACTATCCACAGATTTAACATGCAATTCACGATATCACCAATATTGTTTTCCCAGTTTCATACGACTACAATAGATACAACCTGAGCATCTTCTCTCAACATTCAATCCTGGGATCATTAAAAACACCCAGAGCTGCTGTATTCCAATTTCGGAGGTTTGGATACCAAATCATGATATCACCCCCTCCCCCCCGAAAAAGAATGTGTGGTGATGGACGAACTTCCAGTTGAAAGAATAGAATGCAGAAATTAATCAAAAAAAAAGAATTAAACTAGAGACTTGAGGGGCTTCTATCTGAATTTGCATGTCCACCTAATTTTTAACATATAAAAACATCCATACAGTTTAAGGCTGAGAAAAACCGCACAGAATTAATACCTCTTTGGGAGCCAACGCTAACGAATGTTATACATGTCAAGAATAGCCTGAGCTGCAAAGGGAAGAGATATTAGGAACACCGTAATAACGGATATCCTAGGGAAATGATGATCGAGAACAATAGGAAGCAAACATTTGCAAACAAATATTGGCCCTTTATATAGCATTTGGCATAGAATGGTCCGAATACATGTACAACAAACTATTTTAATATAACGCACCTTACAACTCACACAACACGTACTTTCATTACCCAGACAAGGTTGTATATGACTACTAGTTAGAAAACAGAAGGTTTCATACCTAAACCATCTGTATACAGAAGAATTTAGCTTCGCCACATTCATGATTCACCTCACAACTTGCTCGTCATGATTTCTTCCTGCGACTGATTTTGGGACGTCACAACCTGCTCTTAGATTACAAAGCAAAGCATCACGCCCAGTCAAAACTATTTTGAAAAAGCCATCTACTACCATTGAAAGATTATCTAAACCTTGAGATAGTTTCTCTGCTGTGCTCCTCATATCTGAAACAGAATTCTTGAATGATTCACCATCAGCAGGACCAAACCCATCTTGAAGGAATGGATACAGTTTCTTGGAACAGGCATCGACAGCATGAAGTTCTCTAAGAACTGTAAATTCTCCGCAAGAAAATATATTTCTAATTTCTGTATTCACAGTAGTTTGCATATCAGAGAAAACTTGTGCCCATGGCAGCGTAGCAGGAACAGGCAAATCTAACAAATTCTTGGTAGAACCAGAGAAAGCTGCAGCAAAGATACTACAGATATATGTAGTCACCACCTTAGCTCCATACATAGCACGCATCAAAACCTTCCCTTTAGCAGAGTTCTTCACCTTAGGCAAGTTCAATGACTCCACAAGTTTGTCCAGTATAGGATGACAACCTTCAACTCTGGGATTTTTTGAACAAATGTGCTGTCTCCAGCTATCAAGTGAGGAACATGCCCTCAGGAATTGGTTTTGGGAATCAGACTCCAACTTATGCAACACACATTGAAGTAAGAGATGGCCTTGGTTGAGCCTTGTAAGTTCAGAGGTAAAAGCAATACTAATATCAAGCAACTTTACACTTATGTCCAGGTACACATCTATCCATTTCTCATCCCAATCAGTCACAGGGAGCTCAAGCTCAGTTATCAGGTTTTTTATATCGCAGTGAATCTCGGAAAGCGACTCCATTGCTAGTTTCATCCACGACAAGCTAAGGATGTCATTCTTGTCTTTAGGCACAAGCCTTTGCAGCCTCTCTGACAAGGCGGCCTCAAACGCACTCAATAAAGAAAGAAGTCTTGGAGGCAACTGAGAACCCTTAGGAGTACGGAAAGGATTTCCAAAATGGAAGAAAGGGCGGTGTGGTTCTTGAGGACGGCTCATTTTTTGATGTATTTACTACAACATCCAAAAGTACAAAGTCAATTATATCACAATAAAATGTTTGATAAACTAAATCATGTTATTAATTCAATGGATTATGACAGACATCAAACTCCCCGAAGTTTCCATAAGTAATCATCTTTATAGTTTATAATACTATGCAAGCATGGGCATAACTTTAAACGGGCATCATCCCCGTAATATTTATAGACCATTAGTTCCACCATCCAACAATAAACGAATTCAAACCTATACATTTGACCAATACCTTACACAGCAGATCTAATCATATAATACTTAATAAGCATAAAATCATTTGGATTAAATTTTGTAGATTCAACTAAATAACTAAATAGATGATGGCATAAACAACCATATATTCAACAATAAAATATAAAAAATACACGCAAAAGATATGGTGCAACGATAAATCATAACAAATATATCTAGATCTCCTTGGTTGCCTGATTTTCTCTGGTTATCCACCCTATCTTGTCTTAATTCTACATCTACATGACTTCCAACATGAATACTAGGAAAAACTTTATACAGAGAAACAGCCAAGTCATTTCTACACAAAATAAAATAATTATAAACCAAAACGCTTCAAGCCGGAAACTCTGGAAATCACATCTCTAAAAAACAAAGCTTCAAAATCGAAATTCAAAACACAGAAGTCACAGCAGATCTGGTGGATCTGAAACGAAAATAAAAACACAAAAACATCCAGAAATATAAAGTCAAAACAAATACAAAAGTAAACCAAAAAAATACCAGAAGTTTCGGTACTTAAATCAAACGAGGGATTAAACCAAGCAGAAGAAGAAATTATCCACGGATCTGTTCAAACTTTGTTAATAACAAAAGATGAAAACAAATTTATAAGCTAAGTAGGTTTCAAACAACTAATCTAAAAAAATGAAGAAAAAATCGGTATTTCAGTGGAATCGCACACAGAAAAGCTAATTGAAAATAACAAAAAGGAAAATAGAGAGAATTGTACCTGACTTAGTACTGGAAATGGAATTTGGAAATTTCGAACAAGGCTGCAAATGCTTGGTGTATTTTTCAGCTTAGTTGAAATTTCAATATTTGGGGAGTAGTTGAGAATGAGGAGTGTTGATTTAATCACTGCCTGTTACGGGATGTCGGTCACATAATATATACGTGGAGTACAATGAATGGGGAACATAAAGAATTGGGGTAACGGATAAGAAGAATAGCTTACCGCCTATTTTTGTTGTTTTTTGCTCTTTTGTCAAATTTGTTGATATTATCGAAGGGCCGTCGGGTGGAATATAATTTTCAGTGGGCCCCCGCCAGACGTCAGCCCCACTTCCACTTGTATAAAGCCGCGCAAATCTAACGGATATAAATGAGCATGCTTCATGTTTCAAAGTTAGCTGTAGGCTTTTAGCAATAACCAAATTTTAAAGGTTTAATACTCAATTTACCTTTTAAGTTATATTTATTTTGATATTTTGATATTTTTTTAATGTCTACTTAAATTAATCAATTTTTTTTCAACTAGTTAAAATTTTAATTATGTTAAAAAAGTAAAAATAATTTACTATTAGTCAATAAATAAATTATTATATTGATCACGATAAATCATGAAAAATATTAAAGATGCATGTAAATTTTAATTATATTCTTTCAACCGATTAATTAGATTTAGAATTTTAAATACTCATATATAATTGTACAGACACTAAAACTTTAAATTCTAAATAAACTATAATATAAAAAAATTTAAGCTAATCAGAATAAAATTCGAAATACAATTTCTGATAAACTCATATCCTACGTTTTTAAATTAATAAATCTAAAATAGTCAAAAAATCTAGGATAAAGTACATAAATGATCCCCGATTATAAGATGTTATTTTTTTAGCCTCTTAACTATTAAAAGTTACAAAAGAGTCTCCCAATTAGAAAAATGTCATCTAATTATTCGTATATTCTAAACTCCTACTTTTCTGTTAAAAAAATTAACGATTGTCTAAACTAGATGTTAACATGTGGATTGAGATATGATAAAAACTCATACTTTTTTGTTAAAAAATTAACAATTGTTTAAACTAGATGTTAACATATCGATTGAGATATGATAAAACCATATTTTAATGATGTTTACTGACATCGTCGTTGCTTTCAAGTATTAGCTCGACGACATAATGTAAACGAATAGTCAATACACAAGATACAACTCAAATAGTTTTAGGACCATATTTTATCATATCCAGTTAATAGGTTAACGTTCAACTCAAACGACTGCCAATTTTTTTAATGGGAAAGGACGAGTTTGGATCATATGAATAATCAGAGAATCATTTTATAACTTTTAATAGTTGAAAGACTAAAAAAAACAGTGCCCTATAGTTAGATAAATATTTTGTAACTTTTGATATTCATAGTTGTCAATAAAGTGATGTCCTATAGTCAGAGAACTATTTCTGTACTTTATCCAAAAATTTAAAAGTTTTTTTTATTAATATAAGATGCTTACTATCCCAGTGGTAATATATATTCTAAATACTCTCAATCATTTAATAATAAATACTCAAATATTTTAAAAAATCTTTGGTGCTCGAACTTTAAACTTTTAATAGTAATAATTATTCCTTTCATCGATGAGATAATTTGTTTGGTGTAAAAAATCTAAAAGTAATAACTTAAAGACGGGACCCTCCATTTCCATGCTTAACTCCAAAAATCTGTAAGTAATTATTGTTGCCTTTTACACTTTTGTGCGTGCCTTCACAAATAATCAAAAGTGAATATTAAGGAATGGAGTAGGGTTCTTTGTTTGATATATTTAAACACGCCGTCTAATCTTTTTACTTAACCTCTCCCACAAGAAAAGATGGCGATTGATTGGTACTATGAGGTGCTTACTGCTCCGTAATGCATTGCCGCACGTTGTTTCATCACTTAAAAGATAGAATTATAAGCAACAATCTTCACTTATAAGAATCATCCAATTATTTCAATATCTCGTCAGCTTGTGAACAACGTCCCCTGCTGTGGTCGCTTTGGTTATTTGGGTTTTGGGAGGGGTCTTATTGGCCTCAACGGCTTTAGGCTTGTACTGGACTTTTATCTTCGAATTCACATATTTGATTCAATTTGATAGGATCAATATGTGGATTTAACTTTTCAAGATCGAAACAAGTTTAAGTAAATTTCATTTGTCTCAAATTCTTGTCAAGTTTGCGGACTGAATATGTCATCTGTATTCAGGGTAGAGTTTGAAACGAATTAAGTTAAATTTAGAGTTAGATCGGAATCAGGTTATAATTTCATTGTGTCGGGTTTTGAACATACAGACCCTCCCCGATGGCGCCTGCAAAGGGTGTTGAACATTCAAAAATTTTGTCCCTGCAATAACTCATCTGCCGGTCTTCCTTAAGAACAATTAAAGACAACACGTGATAGCACACTATGTCTATTATTAATGTTACTGTGTCTAGTAATTTAATACTTTGTTCAAACATAAATGGCCGCAAACCCCACATATCTCGGCCTATATAAGCAAAGTTCTTGAATTGTACAAATTATACTCGGTTAGTTACTATGGTAATATAGTTTAAAAAATTATACTTGGATTTGGCACACATATATTTAAAGACATTATCTTATATATTTTTATGGTCTATATTTGTACAAATACATACTGTATATTACATGTGGGGGGAATGCAAACCAAACATATAGAATAATGTCAGATTATTGTTAAAGATACAACAAATCATCTCTAACCTAATTTCGAAGCATTGCGATTGGATTGTCGATTGCCGGAATGTGAATCCGAAGGCTCTGTTGCAGCCCGGCGTTCCTGCAAAACAAGACAAAGGTAAGATAATACAAGTGAAAGCTCCCTTGCATATGCCAAAATTGCTAATATATTGCATGGAAGCGGTCATTACATCGCGGAAGAGCAGATCATCAGCTTCGAGCATATGGATAACATGCCCCATTTTCGGCCTTTTAGTTGCATCAGGATCAACACATTTGAGAGCGACCAATAATGCACGTTTGAGCGCTTTTGTAGCAGGCATCTCGAGTAGCTTCGGATCAACTACTACTTCGGATTTTCGGTTTCCGATCAAGGTTTTTAACCATTCCACCAAGTTCACCTGCAATTATGTATTCAGTCATTTCCAAGTTAACAACATTAGGAGTTGTCACTCACTATATTAAGCCTAACCTCCATAGTAAGCCTAACCTCTCCTTGAGGCCGGCTATAGTTGACCGGACTTCTCCCAGAAATAATCTCCATAATAAGTATACCGAAGCTATAGACATCACTCTTCTCACTCACTATACTAAAGGGGGGAAACAAAGGATAAGTTAAATAATAAGCCTAACCTCTCCTTGAGGCCGGCTATAGTCGACCGGACTTCTCCCAGAAATAATCTCCATAATAAGTATACCGAAGCTATAGACATCACTCTTCTCACTCACTATACTAGAGGGGGGAAACAAAGGATAAGTTAATAATAAGCCTAACCTCTCCTTGAGGCCGGCTATAGTCGACCGGACTTCTCCCAGAAATAATCTCCATAATAAGTATACCGAAGCTATAGACATCACTCTTCTCACTCACTATACTAGAGGGGGGAAACAAAGGATAAGTTAATAATAAGCCTAACCTCTCCTTGAGGCCGGCTATAGTCGACCGGACTTCTCCCAGAAATAATCTCCATAATAAGTATACCGAAGCTATAGACATCACTCTTCTCATTCAGCATGCCTGTACAAGCATATTCTGGAGCAACATAGCTGGAAAAATATGAAAGATAATGAAGTGATTTCAGTGCACATGAAGGCGTTCATAATGGTTAATCTTAATTGCTAAGAGATGGGAAAAAAGAGAAAAGACTGTGAACTGGAAGTTAACCGACCCGAATGTTCCCATCACTCGAGTTGTCACATAACTCCGTTCAGAACACAAGAGTTTAGCGAGCCCAAAATCGGAAACCTTGGAGTTCCACTGGCGATCAAGTAGGATGTTGCTGGATTTTACGTCCCGATGAACAACCTTTGGCTCGAGACCTTCATGAAGGTAAGCTAAACTGCGATAGCAACACGAAGAACACCGCGAATGAGAACCGGAACATATGAACAGAGAATTTACACAATTTTACATAAATCGAAACGAAAGAAATCAAGAATTCTAAATGTACCCCCTTGCTGTTCCTAATATGATATTCATACGGATATCCCATGTAAGAGGACTGACATCCCCAACATCACCGTGCAGCCACTGTTCCAAATTCCCATTGTCAACATACTCGTATACAAGCATCCTAAACAGCAAAAGAAAAAAAAAAGACACTAAATCATTCTCTCTCTACAGTTTACACTGATGAAATAAGAATTTAAAAATGGAAGATGATTGCAATATACCTATAAGCGCCTTCAACACAGTAACCAAGCAATCTCACAAGATTCTTATGGCGCACACGCCCAATTGCTTCCACTTCTACCTTAAATTCCTTCTCGGCTTGACCCCTGAAAATCAAAGATTCAAATGATCCAGAAAAAAGAACATTCATTTCTTAAAATGAGATAAGTTAATGAAGTAAAAGGAGGGGTACTTGTTGTTGAGCAAATTTTTGACAGCAACATTGGTTCCGTCAGTCAAAACGCCGTGATAAACAATTCCATAGCCGCCTTCGCCGATCACATTTTCTTCACATAATCCACTGGTAGCTAACTCCAGTTCCCTCAACGTATACCATCTTCCCCACCCAAGATGAGACACTTCCGGCCCGACATTCCCACTCCCGAACGACGTTGTCTCGCTCACGCTCGTGTGCCCTTTGCTTTCCCCACTGGAGAACGCCAATATGTGCTCCAGTTTCCCCGTGTCCACTTGGACCTCCGGCACCGGCGGGGCTTTATGTTGGTGATCGGGTGCCGCCGGCGGGTGGTGGTGGTGGTGGACTATTTCTTGGATTTCTTTGGAGACCGGCGGCGTGGAGCCCAGGTGTCGATGTCTGCGAGATTTGCGGCGGGTTATCAGGCAAAGCGAGAGAAGGAACAGAGTCAAAACTATGAATGAACCAAGAAGAATCCCGATCACTACCCATAGTTTTAACCCGAAAATCGACGTCGACTTCGATAGCTCCGTGTTAACGAACGCCGCGTCGTACACCGACATCCTGAGATACCGGCAGTATTAGCTTCGCCGGAAAGTAACGTTTATGAAAATGGAAAGCTTAAGCAAAGGAAGAGATAAAAGGAATGTCTTTTACAGCAAATGGAGAAGATAAAGGGAGCTTCCTCCTTTTTTATGCTCTGCACCACTTACGACACTGAACGCTTCTTTTATTACCTTCTTTTTAACTTTTTAAATAAGCTTGTCTACTTGTCTTAGCCGGACCGGAGTTGGAGATATATTACTATATGTATAAACTTTAAATGACGAGATTGTCCGTGTTTCTTTGTTATCATTTATTTACTGCTAGTGCCTAGTATATTTTAGAAGTCTAATTCTGGTTTTAGTCCTCTATTATGCTAAAAATATTATATTTCATCCCTCAATTTTTTATGTTACTAAGGTTTGACTTCCGATCACTATAGCTATATAAATTATATCATGACCTTTTTTTATTACGCTATTTATGATTTCAATAAATTAAAATAATTTGCATCATTATTTTTAGCCACTCCGATTTTATATAATTTAATTCATCTATTTTATTATTATTAAAACTAGTATAGTTTGATATTTCATCAACAAATCACATGATTATTAATTGATTTAGCTACTCCGATTTTATATAATTTAATTCATCTATTCTTTAAATATTATTTTTATATCTAAATCGATAATATTATTAATCATCTATGTTAAAACAGTGATTTAGAATTTTCAGAACATATCTCTTGATATTTTAACTAATATATAGATTTATTATTGTTTTCTAACTATGTTTAGATAGATCTCCATGACTCCTTATTTGTGTGAACATATTATCACTTTAACAATATAAACTAATGATGTTATTGACTTAACTTCACTAATAATATTATAACAGTAGAGGAATTATATTATGTAAAATGGAAAATAAAGAGATTAAATACTTTATTTCAGTATAATATATGGACTAAAGTTATAATTAGACCTACTTTAGACGAAGTCCGAATAAATTTGAGACGATCGAATGACCGTTGAGAGGGAAATTATAAACCACTTTTTGTTGTAGCTAGTCAAGCATTCAGCCAAAGTCAAGATGTAATAGAACGAATCAGTTTGAGTACGGAGGCGATTTTACTAAAAGATCACCCTAAAAATAATTAAATATCAAAATAGTATTCATTTATTAATATTTACTGATCTAATATTCGTTCGGCATTAAGACAAATTTTACGAAACGCGCTTTGCACAAATGACATCTCACATAGGTGGTGTTTGTTTTTGTATAGGTAAAAGATCTGCAGTCTGTGGACCATATCTGCAGACATCTGCAGCAGAAGAGGTGGATCAAAAGTCTACAGTCTGCAAGAAGAATATTGTTTGTTTTTTAACGTCTGCAGACTGCTAAAATAAACTGAAATATAAATAAACTGATTCTTTAAACTTAAAAGAGTTTTGCAATACTGAGATTTAAATAATTTTAGTTTTACAATACTGAAATTTAAATAATTCATATAACTACAATAATAATTTTTTTAGAAAAACACACCACCTTATTAATTCTATTATAAATCTCACATAATCACATGTATTATTAGTTTTATAAGTTTTATATAATAAAATTTATAAATGATCATTAAATTATATGATTTTTTTAAACATTAAATTATTTAAAGTTATATAATAATATTAAATTTTAAATTTTATTATCATATGGCACAACAACATTAATTATCATTAAACTATTATTAATCAATGAATCATACACCTCTCTTTTTTTAAACATTAATTATCATTAAAATATTATTAAATATGCAATTATGTAATACTTTTAATTTTTTTAAATATATATTCATAATTTATTTTTATAATTATATGATATTTTTAGAAAATATTTTTTAATTTATCAAATTATTTTATGATTATTTTTTATTTAATTGTGATTATATTTTAAAATTTTAAAAACATAATTTATAATTTTTTATATTTTAAAATCTTAATTATCAAACAATTGAATCATTTTTTATTAAGCAATGTGGTTTAAATACTTACATTTCGTATAAAAAGTTTAAATATAATTTAAAAATAACAAATCCAAAAAAATATTGTATTTAAACTTAAATCAAAATAATTAAAATAAATATAAAATTTTAATAATATATAAAATAATTTATATGATATAAAATTAAATATCTATAATATAATATTAAAAAATTAATATTTAATTTATTTAAAAATAATATTAAAATTAATATCTATAACATAATATTAAATATTAAATATTTAATTTATTTAAAAATTAATATTAAAATTAATATCTATAATATAAAATTAAATATAAAACCTCTTTGAAGAGATTAGAAGACGTCTGCAGACATAAGATCACGTCTGCGCCGCGCAGATGTTAAAAGAACTTCTGTCTTCTAAAAAACAAACGGTCTGCGAAGCTCAATGTCTGCGCGTGGTCTGCGCAGACATAAGAGATTTGAAGAGGTATAACAGTGAAAATAAACATCACCTTAATAAATGTGTGTTTTTATATAACATGTTTTTTTTGTTTAAATATCCAAAATTTACATTAAATATAATATTAAATATTCAAAATTTAATTCGATTATAACATAAAAATTTTGTTTGAATATAACCTTAAATATCAAAAAATTGATTTAAATATAATTTTAAAAAATCCTAAATTAATATAAAAATTAAAAAGATAAGACGGTGAGATTGTCGATCACACGTATCTACATTCGTTATTCCATGAAAGTCCTTCTTCGACATCAGCTCTGACCCAACAAGATGAAGTTGATGTCGATGGAGAGATGAAAGTGAAGATGAAGAGCAACCTATACGATAAAATCCCGCTCTAAATAGACAATTACAGTCATGTAGAACGCATTTATAAAATGGCATCGTTTGTTTATATTATTTTATCTTTTTAATTTTTATATTAATTTATGATATTTAAAGTTATAGTTGAATTAAATTTTGGATATTTAATATTATATACAAAATAAATTTGTATATTATAATGGAATTACATTTCAGATATTTAATATAAATTTTGGATATTCAAACCTAATAAAAGCGTGTGATATAGAAAGTGTCTTTCAAGTGATCTGTCATAAACATAAAATACTTTATGTAAAATTCGTTTTTGTTGAGTGAGATGTCACTTGTCCAAAACGTATTTTGTATGACGCAAATTAGGGGGCGTTTGGTAACATTACCTTTGGAAATAAGATTACCGGAATATTATATTACCTTACACATTACCGGGAATGTTACATTATTGTGTTTGGTTTGTTTGACATAAATGTATGATTACAGTATTTGGTTAAAGAAATAAAAAATTAATGGAATGCATATTTTACTAAATTGTCCTTATAATATTTTTTAACAAGATGAATTCCAAATATTTAAATAAAAATATTTATATAAAAATTCATAGAAAATATATTATTGTATTATTTTCAATTTATATATTTTTTTATTAAATTTAAATTCATAAAATTTATATAATTTTTTACAATATTTAAAAGATAAATGGGTATATTAAAAGAGTAAATATACCATTTATTATTTTTAACTTAATTAATATTTAAAAAGTTATGATAATTTGCGAAAATAAAATTTTGAAATAAATTTGTGAAAACAAAATATTATAGATTTTGAAATAAAAGTAAGGATATTTTTGAAACAAATCTTTTATTTCAATGACATTTTAGTCTAAGTGGAAGGGAAACAAAAAATACCTAAGAAAAGCATGGGATTAGAATTCTAGGTAAAAAGTTTGAAAATTTTTATTGTTGGGAATATTTTATTACTCCATATTGAGAATATTTCTCATCCAAACGTGAAAATTTGAATTTGGAAAAAAATTTCCACCAAGAATCTTGAATTTCATAATCCAATCACCCTCTTATTGTCGGATAGTATGAATAAGTACTAAATCGATATTTATTAGTGAAAATGTGTTGTTTTGATATTTAATTATTATTAAGGTGATTTTTTAGTAACATTGCCAAGTATGGACGTGCCACATCAGATATTGCCGAGGGCTATCAAGCAAGCCACCTTTAGTAGGACCCACACGTGGCTGCACCACTTTCGGTCGTAGTCTTACACTACGTTAATATATATATATAACGATTAAATTTTCGAATTTTAATTAATCGTTTCATTAGTTGGTTAACATTTCTTAGAAAATATTTGAATAAAAATTTTAAGTTAAAATAATATTGCATATTACTCTTAGTTAAGAAGAATATGTATTAGTTTTAATGATATATTTTAATATTAAATTTAAAACACAAGAACATAATATTTTTTTCAGTGGGTTTAATTTAATTATGATAATATTCCAAAAGGGGAGTTAAGACAGAGACAAAGACGAGTCATTACATTAAATTATGGGATGTTAAAATGGTTTGAAGATGAGTTTATTACTTTTGTTTTTGTGGCTTCGAAAGACGGTTGGAGGGGGAATTAAGAGTATTGTTTTTGAAGCTTTTGTGCATTATTGCACCAATCATTCACAGTCCCTTTCATGGTTTTAGCATTCAACTACGGTGTAGTGTTTTAGGGTTCGTTAGTGAGTTGTCTAGTGTTCACTAAAGGAGTCTTTAAGAAAATTTTATTTATTTAATAATTAAAATGATTATAAAATAATATTTATTTAAATTTTTACTAATCATTGATAATGTATACATCCTACAAACATAATTGCTTAAATAAAAAACTTTTAAGAATAACAACATTCCTTTTAACATTTAAATCACTTGATAAATTCTTTTAAAAATATTAGTTTCTCGATAGAAAATCTTTGATAATATAAATCTACATCGAACAATTATAAAGAGAATTCTATGGTATATTTTATCGAAATTTGTATGGTAACTAATTAATACTTGTAATTACTTGTATGTGCATAACAATCATTCATTGAGCAATATGTCCACGTGAAAGTGGCGATGCACTTCCGTAAGGGACGCGTGATTTATTAAAAGTAGGTAAATTACATTTTAGATCCGCATGGGTTTATATATATGATTTTAACTATTACTTTCATACTACTAGTCTACTAAGTCCAAACGTTTATTCATTAATTTTCACACTTAAAGTCATATAAA